GCACCACTCAGATTGAAAAAGGAACCAGCTTATTAGCATATTTCAAGTACAACTCTGCACAGCCACCTATTCTCTTCACCTGCATGCAAATGAATGATACTTTTTCCATCTGGAAAACTGGCATGATTGACAGTTTTCCATCTGGGAAACTGGCATGAATAAGTTTTCCATCTGGGAAACTGGCATGAATAAGTTTTCCATCTGGGAAAACTGATATTCAGTGTTGAAAAAAGTTTAGAGTGAAAAAAAACATTTAGCTTTTTCCACGAGAAATGACTACTTGGCACTCTCCATCCCCCCCTAGGTAAAATAAAATTAAACAGCACCTAGCAAACATCTGGAGTAAAACTGATTTAACAAGGTACTTAAGTGTATGCCTAACTTTAAACACTTGGGAAAATAAAGCATTGAGACTACTGTGTGCTTAAAACTGGGCATGCATTTACATACTTTGCTATATCTGGGCCGAAGTAACAAAAATAAGAAAAAAAGATAAGAAATGGAAGCAACACATTTGACAACTTACTAAATAGACATCCAAAACTGAAGCATTATCATTCTCCATTTCCAGTGTGCTCTGTTCTGAAGTCAGGTAGATGGCACTGTCTTCTAACGTAAATGTTGAACTCGACGGTAACCCTTTACTGGAAATGGAAAAGGAAACATAACAAACACAAGAAGTAAATTACCAGAACACAAACATAAGACCTGAAGCTTTAAAACAGAAAAACTCTCCTACATTCTTACTTTTCCCTCTATTTGGTGAAAAAAGTACATTTCAAAAGACCTTAGTTACATATGTAATTAGTGCAGTGGGGCAATAAGAAGAGCTAATCTTTATGCTGCAAGTGCAGTTACTTGATTGTTGGGCACATTCATGGAGAAGCAGCCTGCAATCTCAGAGACACTTTTGCATCCTTTTTGCAAGTATATTTTGGGTCTCCATCTTAAAAAATTTACTTTTAATGATGTGATTCTTAACTGGGATGCTGTATTTTTCTGTACTAAAAAAAGGAGAAGTAAAAACTAAGAGCTGGCATTTTCTGAGGGATGTCTTGAGCCTAACAAGGGGGTATCTCAAGGCTAAAAAGGTTGAGAAGCACTGCTTTCACGCTTGCATTTTCAAAACAGCTTAAGCTTACGTGATAGGCTCACTGAAAGTCAATAGCAGCCATGTAGCTAACTCCTGTCAGCTCCTTTGAAAAACACAACCTAGTTTTTTAAAGCCAAATTTTTAGATGGGGAAACTGCATTTCACCCACATATTGTGGGTCACGATTGCACATGGGACTGCATAAAATGGTACCATGCTGTGATTGAAGGAGAAAAGATTAATTTTTTCCTTCCCTGGAGAGCGACGCAGTTCATGGTTTACCTACTTACACTGTGCATTTAGGACTGGATTTGCTCTTATGCTTACTCCCAAGGGGAAAAAAAAAAAAATCAAATTAACATTAAGCACTGCACTGGTCAGTTTTTGAGAATCAGCAAACTTATTACTTAAAAACTATAAAACCAATGCAAATTTAGACTATAAAACTGAATGGAAAAGTGATCAGCAAACCTGATGTCATACTCCTATTAGGTGCATAGTATTACATCAAGATAAACTATTGCTTTCATGATGTCGTATATTGGATGTCCTCAGTAATGAGGCTCTATCCCCTTGCCTCCTCCTGGGCTGACGTAATTCCCACTGACTTTAGTGGTAGTTGGATCACACCCTCTATCTATATTCCATTTAGCAATCTTTCAGTCGGGTCATTTTTTTTGCCAATGCTTAGTTTAACTAATGAAATAAAGGGGACTCTTTGCCAGGGCAACACTGGAAGTGCTTCTTGAATGTTGACTACATTTTATCATCTTTTTTGCAAACCAAGCACTGGCATGAAAGATACTGTCCTTGATAATAATAAAACAACTGACTAGAAATGAGTTGCTTTAGCTTTTGAGATTCAATTTTAATATTATAAAAGCCTTAGTCTGTCTGTCCGTAACGCTTTATTTGCACTCTGGTTGCCTCAGCAGAAGAAATTCTCCTGGTTTTAAAACAGTAGAAGTTTACTTTTAAGGTGAAACATCTGGTTTAGAAACAAGGCTGGAAAAGGCCTATGAACACAGACTGTCCGTATTGGGAAGCTAATCTGCAAAGTGGGGGAAGAAGTGGAAATTCTGAGTCACTGGCACATTAGCGTGAAGTTGGAACCCATGCTGGTGTCAGAATGCAGACTTCAGCCTTTGCCAGGATCCAAACTCTGCCACACATCAAGCTGCAGTGCAATGTTTATTAGTTATAAAATAACGTCACTTCAGTAACACTGTCAGTCTGCAGCAAACAGAGATAACTTCCAAACGGAAATATAACAGAATATACTGGCTGTGCCAAGAAGGCTCTTCCATCAGTTTGATGGTAGACACTACTTTGCCATATAGTTTATTAAAACTGCTATCTCATGACACTGTGGAGAAAGTTCCCAGCACAGTTTGGAAGTAATGGGGGGTGTCAGACAGGCAAATTACTGTTTACTTTGTCTTCAACCATATGATGAGAAACTAAACAGGCTTTCCCTTTTATTTTCCTGCATACCTGGATCCTGCTTTGACAAGTACCTTGCAAGAAACACAAATAAGGATTGTGAGATTAGGTATGAAGTTATGAAAAAATCATCTGAGTTAAAGTGGATCTTCAGCAAATTTATAACAGCACAGTTCTGATAGGTGACCTCTTCTAAGGCCCCTGCTACACATTACATATATCATGCAATTAACTGATCAGTCACACAACAAATTTAGACTGGCCACACATGCAAAGTAAGACTAACCACAAGTGTAAAGTAATTATCACACAATTAACTGGTTAATCGCTCAATAAAGTTAGACCAGCTACACATGCAAAGTAATTACCAAACAATAAAAATGACTGTCCATCTATAAAAGAGCCAACCAGCTAGAAACCTGGTGCTTGAAAATGTGTGACAAATCTATAGCTGGTTGGCTCTCTTTCTATCCAGCTTTAATTTGAATGTGCAGCAGGGCCCTGAGTGATATGCAGGCAGCCCTCAGACTTACGACACAACTGGTTCCTGAAAACCATATCTAAAGGCAAACCGTTGCAACTCAGAACTGATTTTCTCATAGGAAACAATGTTATAATGGGGGATTGGTTCCTGAACCAATGCCCGATACCCTATTTTCTCCAAAAAAACCCCAGGAATTTTGTAACTCAGTCAATTATAAATGAGTAATATAGCTACATTAATGTATTTATATTGTAAAAAGCAATCATATTGATTTGGAAGGCCTTCTTTAAGGCGACTTTTTGAAGGGTTCTTGGTTGGAGTCTTCTCAGGAGTCTTGGCTGCAGGTTCTTCTGGAGTCTCATCTGCTTTCTTAAAGAAAGTGCCCAAGGAAGTTTGGACAGATGTTCTCCAGGGAGATGGGTGATGCAGCGAACTTGTTCGCTGATGTAACGTGGCATCAGATCAAGTGTTGTAAAATCAAAACTGACATCAGAAAGTTGAAACAGAGTGTCAATTTATAAACACTGTAAGTACGAAATGTTGTAACTCAAAACGTTGTAAGTCGAGGACTGCCTGTAATCCCCCATGTTCCCTGTTAGCTTACTTACTATTGAAGGCAACAAGACATTGCACTAGGGTAAAGAAACAGAGTACATTAAAATCTAGCAATCCCATTTGGGACAAACAACTGAACAGCCTGGAAATATCTTTTGAAAAACTTCACAAACTTTCCTAAATTTAAGATATTTTTATCCTCCAACAAATTTCATTTTTAGTCATGTTGAATTACAGAATTAAAAGGTCCTAGGACTGTGCTCTGGACACTAAAGATTGCTCTTCACAGAAGAGAGACAGTAGTGAAAATGCAGTTTCCTATATTGCTCTAGCTACATCCATCAACTCTGGCATACCCGCAAGACCTAGAGGATCATTAACTGTCTGTCTTTGGAGAATCCCAGGGAGGAGTGGGAGTAACAATTGTCAAAAGTGAATTTTCTTTGTGATATAGACATGTCTCTAGGGAACTGACATGAAATTACTAGCTCCATTTGTATAGGCCAAAAACCTAACAAATTAGACCCAAGCCAGCCAATTTTCCCTGTAGTGAAGCAGTACTATATTAAAAAAGCTTTGCACCACATGTTGAGTATCTCTGGGAGCACGTACCTCTATGCATCAGTACCTTGACTAGCTGTCCCCCGACAGAATTCCCATAAACATAAAAGCTCTTGTGTTAGGACAGCATATCACATCTTCTCTGGATAATAACTATTCCAAGCCAAGGAAGGAAGGTAGAAAATACAGCCTTGGTTCACAACAACTGAAAAATGCATTTGGTACACAAACGGCAGTAAAGTGGTTGTTCTAACAAGAAGACTTCTTAACAAACACTTCTGGAAAATGTATTATATACAGGTATAAATAGATACAGAAACAATTTGCCTTTTAAAAAATGACATGATGTGATCCAAAAATTACTCTTAATATGTTTCATGTTGTAATATAGCATCACTTCTGAACCACAATACTGCATGTAAGTCTTTAAATTCAAGTGCCGCATGAAAAAGGAGGGTCAAACTGCCTTATGATGAAGCACTGGTATCTTATTTTTACTGCAATTACTGTTAAGAAGCATTAAAGCTATTGAAAAGCAGTAAGTGGGACTGACTTTTTAATGCACTTGCTGGCTTTGAAGTAGTTTGACAGGAAAGGTTCTTTTGTGCTACCAAACCTAAGCTAATCAGAAACCATGATTTGTGAATGAGTAAACATTCCAGATGCAGGCAATCTATTCCATGAAGGTGACTGAGTCGGTAATTTTTTGCAGCTGCCATTATAAATCATAGTAACAGCTGGCATACAATTTCAGTACAAGAGAACTGGTGCAGGGGACCACCATTTAGCAACTCAGTGTTTGAACCAACTCCAAAAGGTGATGCAAGTAGATAGCACGTGTATACTAGAGGGCTGGACCGTGATTCAAGTGTTCTTTTGACCAATAAAGGAGTTCTCTCTGTGGCCTTTAAAAGATGCTAGGCCTCAGCAGAAGGGACAGAGGCCAGTAGGTGGGATTTGAGTTGTCTTGAAGATGGAGAAATAATAACAACAATTTTAAAATGTTATAGGATTCTGGGCAGAATGAGATTTGTAATTCCTACTGCCACTAATATAGTGAAAGTGAGTGTGTAATTCTGACCCCAATCTAAAAATATCTTTCTTCTGTTTCCTATGCACTTATGTCTATGAAACAAAAAATTAAGGCTAGACATACCAAAATGTCACGATTTCTCTAGATAGCTCACAGATTGTCTAAAACAGTTCCAATGCAGTGTCAAACATAGTACACCAACCTTTTCATAAAGCTTGATGAGGTGAGTCCATAAGTATGGGCAAAGTGATCTTACTTTGGTTGCACAGACACTTTAGTGCACAGTAGCCTTGTAGAGTAGAACTGACAGCAATGCAAAGAGCTGCTTTTATGACATACTGCTTCAACAATTAAGATGTAACTCCCAATACTGCTACTACATTCATACAGTACATAGAGCCCACTCAGAACTGACAACAGGAGGCAGAAAAAATTTCATCTTGTGTGAAATGACAATAGAGTGCATACTACATAG